ACAATATTATACTTAACACTGTAATTATATTTACCTGGTATTCAAATCTGAATTTCTTTAATCTGTAATCTTTCTGCAAATTCTCGTAAGAATTTTCAATACTTTGAAGATACTCCTGCAGAGATTTGTATATATTAAATAATTCTTTATCCACAAACTCATTCAAGTCTGAAAAAAATAACACATGCGATAGTTAGTACCTAATTTTGGAATGTTACTGATCGGCTCTTGGTAATGTCACACTTGCAGACACAAAATCATATATACAATTGACTGAGCCAGAGGACTGATTATTACTCTCAATTCTTTGCTGCACATGTACATTGCATTCATCATGGGTTGAATATGTCAATAAAGATTCCAGCCCACAAAATGAACACTTAAAAATTAATTTCTCTAGGTATATACCAGACATCAAGATGGCATCTGAGCTCACCACTCGGTATTACTGTGCCAGCCGAAGACCATCAAGACATAATTACAACTGAGTTCCACAACTGAAATTACTAGAGTGAATCAGAATTTGTAAAAGAAAATTAATTACAGCAATTGGAACTGGTCACACCAACTGATTTAACCCCAACTTGTAAATTGTATATATATGTATAATTAAATTAGCAGCTTAGATGAGATTAGTTCATTTTTCTGGTCACTGGTGGCAGTACTACCTTACAGAAGAATACCATAAATATAAGCACTCAGACAACATATTCATTGCTACCAATATTCATCCATCTCAAAATATCAGTAACAACTGCACTGTTATATAAATTATGAAAATAATTTTAATACATTCATTATGAGATGGGACATGGATCTCACATATGCCAGTGAAAATACAGAAAATTGATATTTTCACCACACCAAATTGAAAGGCTGTGCGTATCTGACAGCAAATCATAAAGAATGTAGCTCAACTTTCAACCCTAGAACTGACATAGTATACAGTACCACTTTTAAATGCCCCGTAAACTTAATTTCTCGTAGCTAAAACAGTGTATGGGTTATTTGTAGAAAAGTGGAAATAACATTAAATGTAAAATTCAATATATCTTATACTTACTGAATGCATAATTGCTTGGTTTTGAAAAAAGGATAAGCCCTTTGACCAACATGAAGGTGAACTGCAAATGATTCTGATTTGTAAGTGAGAAATATGCAAATCCTTGACACGACTGAGAATTTGACACAGTCTTACATTTAACATGTTGAAAATCTATTTTCCTACATTTACAGCTCAAAACAATGAACTCGCCATTTACCACTATACACTAACTGTCTGGAATGGAATTCTGCTGCAATTGAAAAGCCACAAATGGCACTGTAGTGTGTTAAGTGAGGAATAACTAACCCATGAATCATCTCATAT